GCTGGAAAAGCACCCTTTGTGCAGCTTGTTTGCGGGTTTCAGATCCTCTTCCCTGGGTTTCCTGGTGGCCTTGGGCCATGTTCCTGTCCTGGCGGGTGCCTCTTCGTGGGGCCCCTGCTTGGTAAAGGCAGGGCTGGAAAGTGTGGCCACTGCCTCTGGTTGCTTCCGTGTCCACCCAGCTGAGCTGTTTCTGCCCTGGGGCCACCTGGTGGTCTAGGGTGCCGTCCAGGCCCTTGGCCTGGGTGGGAATGGTACCCACCCTGGTGCCATCCTGGGCTGCTGGCCTTCACTCTGCACCATGCCTGGCTCAGGTCAGGGTCTCAGACCACCTCCAGTCCTGGTGACACTGCCAGGAGCCACCTCCGTAAGTGTCGTGGTGTTCCTGCGGTCCTCAAGGTCAAGCTGCCCCTGCAGCCCATCAGCCCCCAGGCAAAGCCTTGGCCACCCTCCCACGGACCTGTTTTACCCAGGCAGTGTGTGCCATTTGCCCTCCTGGGCAGCTTTCCCAGGCCGAGCCTCCCTCCGCCCAGCCCTGGTCCTGTTCCCCAATGTCCCTGTACCGCCCAGCTCGGGTACGGCCCCTTCTGGGCCAGGCCTGCCTTCACACACCTTACCCCTAGGCTGAGAGCCTCCTGGAAGAGCTCTCCAGAACTTAGTTTCTATTTCTGGGACCTAATCAGTGTTTTTAATTTATTAGCACCATTCCTAGACTTAGAAAAAGGGAAGCTGCTGATGGCTAGTTAGGATCAGACTGTGGGCGCTGGTGATGATGGCGGAGGCACCCTGGCGGCGTGAGCCACGTGGGGTCTGTGCCCTCCACTCCGACGCCATATCCGCCCAGCGCTGTTCCTCTCCTCCCTGCCCGTCCACCCCCCTCAGACCACAGGCTGGTCTTGACCTCGTCAGCGCCAGCCTGGGCTCCCGCCACGCAGGCCTCCCTGCTTCTGTCACTTTGACGCACCCAGGAGGCCCCGTCCCCCGAGCCGGCCCTGGGGCGAGTGTGCAGGCCGGGTGCCGCTCCTAACTGCCTCTTCTCTTTGACCTCCTCAGCCAAAACAGAGTGGAGTACGAGAAGAGGGTCCGAGCACAAGCCAAGAAGTTTGCGCCCTCATAAGCCGCGGCCTGCGGCCTCCAGAAAGGAAGGGATTGGTTTGGCAGGAACTTGTTTACAACACTTTTGCAAATCTAAAGTTGCTCCGTACAATGACTAGTCGCCTGGGGGGGGTTGGGCGGGCGCCATCTTCCATTGCCGCCGCGGTCCGCAGTCTCGATTCGCTCAGTTGCCCGTTTTTCATACAGGGTCTCTTCCTTCAGTCTTTTGTATTTTGATTGTTATGTAAAACTTGCTTTTATTTTAATATTGATGTCAGTATTTCAACTGCTGTAAAATGATAAACTTTTATACTTGGGTAAGTCCCCAGGAGCGAGCCCTCGCTCTCGGAGGCAAGCATGCTTCTCACCGTGCAGAGCTCCACCGGGCCCCGGCTGGCTGTCTGGAAATGCGCCCTCCCTCCGCCGCTCCTCTAGGGCCTGGGCTGTGTTGCTTTCAAGCCTCAGATCCCAGGTCAGCCGCCTCTCCGTTCTGCGTCACTTCCTTTGTGTTTATATGGCGTTTTGTCTGTGTTGCTGTTTAGAGTAAATAAACTGTTTATATAAAGGTTTTGGTTGCATTATCGTCATTGAAAGTGTGAGGAGGTGGCCCCCGAGAGCCTGGCCCTCCCCTCCCGACCGCAGCCCCTCCACCCCCCAGGGCCAGGACCCGGCTCTCCCGTCTGCTGCCGAGGCGCCCAGGCTGCGTGGCCCCATGTTGCCCTGGATCTTTGTAAATAGGACTGTGCAGAGTGCTGCTGAGGTTTCTCCCCACCCCAGAGCTTCCGGCCGGAGAGACCCTGGCAGGTGTGCCCTGGTGCCAGCCGTCTTGGGGGCCACAGGGCCAGGGCCAGACCAGGGCTGAGGCTGCATGAGGACTGCTTTCGAGGCAGCCTGCTGATGGGGTTACCCCTCCTCAGTGGCTGGGTCACGGGCACCACCTCGGGTGTCTGTTCCTCACGCCCTCGGGAGGCAGCTTTTCTACCACCCCAGCAAACGCAGGGTGTGTCCTCCAGCGGAGCCCACGGCCTGGCCCCTCCAGGGCTTCCCTGACCCTTAGCGCCAGCTAGAGGGCCCTGGGCAGCCTGTGTCTGGAATTCTCTGTCCTGATGCCGCCTGAGTGGTCTCCCGGGGAGGCCGTGCCCCTCAGGAGCAGCCCTGGCGCTGAGCCCTCTGCAAAGGCTGGGCCAGCTGGGCCTCGTGCAGCTGCCTGAGCCGGTGCTGAGCCACCTAGGAAGTGGCCTGGCTGGGTCGCCACGCAGCAGGAAGGTGCAATGGACAGAGATGGGAAGGCCTGGGGGATGCGGCCCGGCCCTCCAGGCCCCACCTGGTCTCCCCATTCTAGCGAGCTTGGCCCTGCTCGGTCTCATTTTGAGCTCCGGGGCTGGAGCTGGCCCTGCTGCCCTGGCACACCCCGGCAGCTGGAGCTGGGTCCCAAGGGGGTGGGGTGGGTGCAGAGAGGGCAAGGGACGGCGGCCCAGGGCCTGGGATGGGGAGCCCGGTGCCTTCCGGTTCTTCCGAAGTCAGTGCGCTGGCGGCTCTGCAGTGCGAGTGAGTGCCTCGTTTGCTTTTCCGGCTTCCGCAGGGCCTGGGCGCTGAGCCCTTGGCTGTTTTCAGCGCGTTTGTAACACGGGGCCTTACCTGGGGAATTTAGCCGCTTTGAATATTTGTGGCCCACTCCCAGAATGTCTTATTTTGTATGACTGAACTACGTTTAGGATTAGTTACACATGTTGTAAACGGTTCATATATATGGAAATTCAATCTATTTTATAGTTAATGTATTCTAAAGTAACGGATGTTTCTAGCCGATTGTAGTGACCTCAGCTAAGGAAATGCCCCTTCTGTAGTCCCACAGTCCTCGGCCTCACGAGGACGTGGATCTTGTAACAGCTCGGAAACGCGGTCATTTGTTTAATGGAAGGGAAGGTGTGTTCCCGGCACGAGGTGCCTCGGAATTAGAATTGTGGGCAATGGGTTAACCACTGTATCTGAGAATCCACCAATTAAAGCATTTGCACAGACTGCCGCCTGCTGGGTGTGTCCTTTCCTGCCGTGTCCCCAGCTCCCCTGGGCTGTGGGGGGTGGGCCAGGGCTGCCGCGCCCCCCAGGGTTCCTTTCCGGTCCTGCCTCCGGCCCAGCGTCAGCCCCTTTGGGTGACTGCCCCTCTAGCCAAGGTGAGCCCCAGCCTCAGGGTCTCGGTGCCTACACCTCCCTGGCCTGGTCTAGGGGTCTCCCCCCAGGACCCGAGGCTGCTCTGGCTGCTGCTGGCAAGGGACCTCCTGGAGAGCAGGGACCCCAGGTGTGCAGAGAGCTCTTCTCACAGGGCCCATCCAGGGCTGGCGGGAGCCCAGCCCCCTGCAGACAGGCTAGCCAGGCCTGAGCTGGCGCTGGGGGAGCCCTCCTTTGGCTTTGGGGGTCAGGCTGGCCGCACCTGCCCTCCGTGTCTCAGGTCCCTTGGGACTTGGGTCTGGCTGGACTGGAGGAGGTTAGTAGACGTTGCCACCATGCTGGCCACTGCCCCCCAGGAACGCGGGCTCCTGGCCAGGCTACTGGTCCCAGGTCCTCTCACCTTCCCAGACCCGAAGGCTCCCTGTGGTTGCCATGACAATGATTTGCCAGCTTGGAGGGCCTTGCACTGACTCAGACTGGCTGCAGCTGGTCTGAGCCAGCTTTAGCAGGGAGGGGCCCGGGAGGGCTGGGTTTGGGATTCATCCCCAGGCTACCCTGATTCTGGGTCCAGGGCATCCTGATGCACCTGCTCCTGCTCGGGAGATGCGAGCAGGTGCCTGAAACCCCCAGGCACTGCCTGGTCTAGGGAAGCTGTTGGCCCAGTTGGGGTGGGCGTTCCTGGCTTTGGCCCATTGGGCGGGAGGGGGCTGGGGCAACGGCCCCATCCACCATGCCTGTCTCCGGCCCAGCCTGGCCCAAAGACTCCCGCACCTCCCAGGAGGCCAGTTTATCCAGCTCTTAGGAAAAGATAGGAATGGGCACAAGAAAACCACGGGTGTGTTTGTCCTGGGCTCTTCCTTCCCTGGGCCTCTGCCCTTCCTCCAGGATGCCCTCCACTGAAGAAGGCAAGTTCCCACTCCATCGTGCGGGCAGGGCCTTTTTTTTTTGGAAACGAGGTTTCGCTCGTTACCCACACTGCAGTGCACTCGCTAGATCTCAGCTCACTGCAACCTCCACCTCCTGGATTCAAGAGATTCTCCTGTCTCAGTCTCCCAAGTAGCTGGGATTACAGGTGCCTGCCACCACACCAGGCTAATTTTGTGTTCTTACTCCATTTCTCCATGTTGATCAGGCTGGTCTCCAACTCCCGACCTCAGGTAATCTGCCCACCTTGGCCTCTCACAGTGCTGGGATTTACAGGCGTGAGCCACCACGTCTGGCCTGGGCTGTGCCTTTAAGGAGGGACTGAAACCTCCAGGCTGGGAGGAGTTGCCTCCCACCGCCAGTTCCACACAGAATGATGCGTGCAGAGGGCCTGGCCTTTCCCTGCCGGGCCCCTAACTACAGTGAGCACAGAAGCCCACCTCTCAGGGAAGAGGCCTCTGACACCCCCACCCTCAGGCTGGTGGGAAGCCTGGCCAAGGGACGGGGCACCATCCTCCCTGCCATCCAGGCCTCACTGCAGCAGGGGCTGTCCTGCCTGCTGGCCTCTGGCACACCAGTGGCCTTTGTTAGGGGTCTTGGTGGGACCCTGTCTTGGGCCCACCTCTCTGCCCCCACCCACCCTAGGTCCCTCACAGATGCTGCAGTAGCATGGAGGCCTGAGAGAACTCCAGTGTGGCACCAGGCGGTCACCTCCAGCCGGCTCCACCTTTGCAGTTGCAGTAGCAAGACTCCCAGAGCGGCCGGGGTGGGCTCTGGAGACGGCGCTCCAGGAGCCAGCATCTCGGCGTGCGGCCAGACCCAGGCTGGGGCCCTCCCACCCAGAGCCCCTCTCTTGCTCAGGCATTTCTACCCCAGGGGCAGTGGGGGCAAGGAACAGGTTCTGGCAGTCTTCAGGGTCCTGCAGCTCCACGGCAGGCAGGGTCCCTGGCTAGAGTCCCTGGGCTGACCCCATGAGCTCTCCTTGGCTCTTCCTTTCCCTGCTTGGGTCCTCAGAGGGGAGTGGGGGTGGGGACTTGTGGGAGGCTGTGCCTGCAATTCCTAGGGCTGGCACCAGAGGGTGGTAGCACCGGGCCGTGCACTATGCTCATGAGTGTGGAACAGGAGTGGGCGTCTGACGCTGCCATGACCTCACCTGCGTGCTGCAGCAGCCGTGGAGCCTGTGTACCCAGAGCCTGCTTTTCCCCTGGCCCTGAGCAGAAAACGCCGCCCTCCCTGCCTGCCAGACCCTTCCCAGCACAAAGTCCTGAGAATGTGAAAAGAACCAGGCTTGAAAAGTGGCTTTTCTCAGCTTTGCACAAGCAGCCCAGTGTCCTGACAGTCTCCCCAAGCTCTGACCCCGTCTGGGCAGGTGGTCTGTGTCCCAACACACCGCAGGGAGGCGTTCCTGCATCTGCACTGCCCCTCACCGTCCCGGGAAAACGCAGCTGTCTGCACTCTGGTCTGAGCCCAGCGGCGCCCCTTCAGAGCGAGGCCTGGGCTCAGGGGTGGGAGGGTGAGCGGCCCCCTCTCCTGCTCTCTCTCTTAGTGGGAGGACTCTTGTAAGGATGGGCTTCCAGCCCCAAGCTACAGAAAGGTAAACTGGGTCACTGAAGGGGCCGGAGCACTGAACGTCTGTGGAGGGGAGAGTCCGAGGGACCATCCTGTCCTGGGGAAACCGAGACCCAGGGCTGTTCTGGGACTCAGCCTGTGACTCTGTGGCCCTGGAAAAGCCCTTTCCCATCTCTGGACTTCAGTCTCCCTACCTATAAGAGTGGAGAGGGGTCTCCAAGGGTGCTCCCACCCCCAACGGACGGCCGCATCGGTCTCAGGGCTGCTGCCCTCTTGGGGCTGAGTAGCGGCCGCCCCTCCCAACTTCCTGTTTACTGCAGCGGCAGAGCCTGTCCCTTCACCCAAAGCCAGTGTGATCGCCATGGCAACCGGCCCGTGTTTGTTCCAACAGGTGGGCAGAACCTGGTGCAAGACTGCAGAGGCAGGGCGTCACTCCCAGACCCGGGCTCCAGACCCGCCAGCCCCTTGGGAGGGATGCTGCTGCAGACTGGGGCTCAGGGCCCAGCCCCCTCCCTGCTTCCCCGCTGCACCCCCCATCCCAGGCAGTCCCTGCATTTCCTGCATACTCCCTGCCCTCCCGCACCAGCCTGGATGTGCTGGGTCAGGCTGAGGCAGGGCCCAGGGAGGAGCTTCCTGGAGAGCCCACCCAGAGGTCCTGCCCCACCACTCTGCAGACAGGTGCGGGCAGGGCATGGATGTGAGTGACTGGGGACCCAGAAGCCAAGCCAGTTGTTGGCTGACTGGCCCCCTCCCTTTGAGGAGCTGTGTTCTGGAAGCCCATCTGGCCTTTGCAGCCCAGCCCAGCCCACCCCAGCGGCCCCTGAGTGCACCATTCCTGCCTCTGGACATGAGCTGGGGTGGGTCCCAGGCCTGCCTTTCTGCTACTCATGAGGCAGGAGCCCCAACATTAGGGACGTGCCCTTTTGGGTGAAAACTCCAAAGTCTGACCCCCATATCCCCAAAGGGCTGTGAGTGTTCAGCTGTATCCGTCCAAGCACAGGTGGGCATCCAGGGGCTGCTGCATCCTCAGGAAATCCGAGAGCCTTGGGACGTCCAGGGCCGTTCTGAGCCCGGAGTTCTCCAAGTGTGGTCCCCGGACCCGCAGCAGCAGCAGGCGGGAGCTGGCAAGTGCAGGTTCTAGCCGGGTGGGCGCCGGGGCCACATCCGCGATCTCAGCGCCTCAGGAGGCCGGGGAAGGGGGATCCCTTGAGCCCAGGAGTTCGAGACCAGCCTGGGCAACATAGGGGGACCCCCCCCACACACACACCCCATCTCCACAAGCAAAAAAAATTAGCCGGCGGGTGGAGCTACTGGGGAGGCTAAAGCGGGAGGATCACTTGAGCCAGAGAGTTCGAGGCTGCAGTGAGCTGAAATGCACTTCAGCCTGGTTGAGAGCTTTTTTTGAGAGCTTTTTTGAGACTCTGTCTCAAAAGAGGGAAAAAGTGCAGATCGCGGCCCCGCCCAGACTTTGGGAACCAGCGAGTTGCGGGCGGGACCCATCAATGCCTTAACAAGCCCCGCGGGAGACCGCGGGCTGGAGGGTTCGAGGACCGTGCGGCAGAGGGAGGGTGGGGAGCAGCCCGGGAGGGGCCGGCGGGGTCCAGTTTAGACCCCAGGGGCTCCGGCCGGCTGCAACCCCACAAGCGCCCAACTGGGCCCTCACCAGAGCCCCAGGGACGATCGTCCCCGGCCGTCCGCGTGGGCGGGGGGCGTCCGGAGTGGATCCCTGCAAAACACACCCCCGCCCCGAGAAGAGAGCGGCGGGGTCCCTGAGCCAGGCCCTTCCAGAAAGGTCTGCGCCGCGGCGGGTGTTGGTGACTCTGGCTTCCCGGGGGCTCCGCGGAGGAGACGCCACTGACAACCCCTCCCAGCCCCCGCGCGCCGCGGGGAGGGCGCGCGCGGCCAGGCGGGGTCCAGAGGCAGCCGAGCCCCGCAGCCACCTGTGGGTTGACTGACAGCCCCGCACCCCGGGGGAGGGGCTCCGGCCCGGCTCGGGGCGCAGGGACCCCCGCCCCGTCCCGTCAGGCGCCGTGGGCGCGGGGGGCGGGGTCGAACCAGGGGCCGTGGGCGGGGCGAGCGCGGTTAGGCCCCGCCCCTCATCACGGCCCCGCCCCGCCCCGCCCCAGGCTGCGGGTCCGCCCCGCAGTTGCTCAGTCGTCGGCGCGCGCGGCTGGGAGCGGTCGCTGTGCCTCGGCGTCCCGAGCTGGTGCCCGAGCCCGGCGCCCCAGGAACCCCCTCCCCGCGCCCGGCCCACGGTGAGTGCTGCGGGCTGCAGCCGGTGCCGCTGGGCCGCCGTCGGGGCTCGGCCCCGCGCCCGCACCCGGACGACCGACGGCCGCCGCCCCCTTAGCCCGGGTCG